TTTTTTTGGTTTTTCTCCGGTACCGGGAACTGAACTCACGACCTTGCGCTTGCCAGGCAGGCGCTTTGCCACTGAGCTAAATCCCCAGCCCCTATAAGTGCATTTAAAAATTTGATGTTCTGAAAATAGTGGAGTTGATTGAGTTAAATTTGTCAGTGACCTTTAGCCAAAGACCACCAGGAAGACACCTGTAATTTAAGAAAGTTGGGTTCTGTAGAACAAGGAAGACTATATACCATGTGACCTTTCAGTCAGAAAATGTTAATAAAAATAACTTTCTGTAGGATGTAAGTGATTTTCAGACAAGGTTTCAGAAAGAAAGGCTTTATTCTGGCATGCATGTTGGCGAGAAATGAGAGTATTTCAGTGATTGCAGATGTTAATTCTTAAAAACGAGAAAGATCAAGGCTAAAGCTGTGATTGATGAAGGAGCAGTTACTCGTTTGCCGGAAGAAGGAGATGTTTAGTCATTCCGAGGTTTGGGCAATGCTTTCGTTTTTGTCAGTGTGCAGACATGATGGTGGAATGATCTCGGGTGTTGTGTTTTGTTTTGTTTTGAGACAGTGTCTTGCTGTGTGCTGGCCTCGAACACAGTGTTCCTCATGCCTCAGCCTGCAGAGTGCTGGGATTGCAGGTGTGCCACCACTCCTGGCTGTCTTGTTTTTATCTTGATCCAGTCCATCAATCATGGACTGACCTTGTCTGACATTGGTTTTAACAAGAGACCATCACAGCCTAGCTGTGATCACTGGGCAACTCCTGATAACACCCAGGTGGGCCTAGGTAGTTGTGCCAGGCCCATTCCCAGTTGTCTAGGACTGCTTTCACTTTCTCTTCATTAATTTAATACTTTTCCTTAATAACTAAATATAATTAACAGTAATTACTGTAATCGTATTTAGGTAATGCATTTAATAGTTTAAGAATGTTCCTATGGTAGAGTCTGTGTTTATTTTTTGTTGCCTCAAAAACTATTGGCTCTAATTATAATTCTCATACTAGTAGAATAAAAGTGTATAATACCACATACTGCCTAAATGACTCATTTATATTTATAGCCTGTATTAAAACTCATATCTAGTGCTGGAAATGTAAAATTTTATTTTACAGCAAACATCAAATCAGACACAAACAGATTCTCCATCCCCTAATCCTGTGTCACCAGTGCCTTTGAATAACCCAACAAGTGCCCCAAGATATGGAACTGTGATACCCAATCGCATCTTTGTAGGAGGAATTGACTTTAAGGTACTTATTTATGCATGCGGCATAAAGCCATGGGACCTTTTTTAAACAATATTTTGTGTAAGGAGGTATTTCTCATGTTGTTTGTGCTACTATAGAAATACGTATTTGCATATTAACAGGTTTCAGATTGTCCTTCTATAAAGAATCTATATGTAGGTTAAGTAACACAAGTATAATTGTTTCATTTCATATGCAAGGAGATTGAAGCTCATTCGCATGCTGTAGGCTCCTAGCTACTTAGTGGCAGACTGAGACCAGAATCCTACTTTTCTGACTCACTTCCATGTTATTTGTGTCACCATACCACACTAATTATACTTCCTTGTGTAGTATGCCATTACCTAAATAATGAGTGATTAAAATTTTCAAAGGAAGACTCAAGAAGAATTTACTCTCAACTTTTATCTGGGGTTCCTGAGCAACTCCCAAGACTTCAATATTCCAATAATTTTCTGTAATTGAATTCCGAATTTGATCACCAAAAAAGGCCTTTGATATTGTCAGAATAGAGCATCTTGATCGTAACATACTTTTTAAGTCAGGTAATTGGCCATTTTACGCTTGAAAAGAATCACAGATGTGAGTTGATTGGCAGCACCCTAGATGGAAGGTGGTAAGCACCATGGTAAGCACCGACGAGAAAGGCACGAGTGAGTGTCTAAAGTCAAGCACTCAAGCCTCCAAGTGGAAATACAGAAAGATTCCTAAGCTTTCGTATCATGCGTTAGGAATCATAGGGAGAGAAAAATCCTTGTGCTGTTAGGTATGGTATTTGACAATAATAGCTTATTATTTCCATATAGTCAGTCTGTCACTATTTAGGTATAATTACTTTTTTCATGCTTATATTTAGTGTATTTGCAAAAATAATGTTTTATGTGTGTTTCACTAAAAATAAACATTACTTCTTATAAAATGTTTATTTTTTAAAAGATTTTCTGTGTCTGTGGGGAAAAAAATGGCTGACCAGAAGTATTCAGTATGAGCATTCCTATTCAGAATTCATGTAATTTAGTGTATATTTAAAATAGGTCATCAGTAAACACAACTATTGCTATGACCAGGTTATTCTGAATTACCAAAGACTACAGTATGAACTTTGGAGACCATTGTTACTGTACAGCCATAGCTTTCAGGTAACTACTAGAGTTCCTTTCTTTGCTTCCATCTTCTTCAAGACCACAGATAAATGCCAGCAAGAAAATAGGCCACTGTAATAACAAGCAGTCTGAGACTTTTTAAACCTCTTATTTTTTAGAAGCCTGTAGACATGCCTCTTAATCTTTAATCATCTTGACTTTCTGTCTTTACTTGAGCAAAAATGCTGAAGCTGCAAAACTGAGCTTAAGTTCTTTTACCAGAGAATACCTTGGATTAATGTGTTTTAAGATCTCTACTAGCAGTTCTTCCCCCTTTTGGGGAGAAGGGGCAGTTTTGAGACAGGGTCTCACTGTGTAGTCCAGACTGGCCTTGAACTTAACTTTTGTAGCCTAGGCTGACCTCACACTTTCAGTGATCCTCCTGCCTTAGCCTCCTTAGTGCTGGGATTACAGGTGTGTACCACCACACCTAACTATTAGTAATTCTTATTCTAGTGTTGATTCCACTTTATGTTTATTGGAATAAAACACATTCACTTATTCTTAGATTGACTCAGTATTTGTCATCTTTCGGATTAGCAGGCTTTGCATCATCAAGCAAAAATCAATAGTGTGTTTAAATAGCAGTTGAATTCAAAAGGCACAGCTGCACCCTAAGGCACATTTATTTCCTACATAAATGAAGACATTTTCCCTTAGAGACATTTACTCTTGGAGACAAGCCACTGCAACTCAACCAGAAAATGAAATTGCATTAAATCTAGTGTATATACTCCAAGAAAAGGTGCAAGTCTTTATATAAAAGACCCAGTCTTTATATACATCTTATATAAGCCTAATTATGATTCTCGTTTTTATTTCGAGTATCGTGTGTGTATTTAAATGAAATATATATTGAATACAGATAAAAGTATCTAATAATTTTAAATCTTGTAGTCAGCCCATTTTTCTCACACACTGAGCTCAAGTACTTCAGGAGCTTTCCCACAACCTGACTTTTCTTGGAGATTGCTGGTTATTATAAAGTGCCTAATATGGGCCAACTCATTGAGTTCCACTCCATGATTGTTGGTCTCCCTGAGTCACCAGGGCTAACTGTAATGTGTCTTTACTATGGTAGCACTTAATCCAAAGCAGTTTTTTAAAACTCGCTAACTGAAGAATAAGAGTCACTTAAAGATTTTTAAATAGTGAACCTTCTTTATAGTTTCAGAATATGTAATTCTGCTTACATGTGTTTGATTTGTGTATAATAGTTTAACAGCACAGCTAAGGCATAAAACAAGGTATTTATATTGATTTTCATAATGTAGTGGTTTCATGCACTGTTTTAATGAAAGACATTTAACCATATTATTTATAACATTTTGTGTCTCTTAAAACAATTGTTATTTCATCTTTTATTATTTAATTTTTTCTTTTTATACCATTAGACAAATGAAAATGATTTAAGAAAATTTTTTTCCCAGTATGGGTCTGTAAAAGAAGTGAAGATTGTGAACGACAGAGCTGGAGTGTCTAAAGGGTTAGTATTACTACAAATAGTACAGAGAATGAACAGTTGAGTTTTTATTGGACTGCTAGATGTGTACTAATTTTTCTGTTCCATTTTTGAGAGAATTTCAAGCCCTCTTTTTTCCTCTTACCTTATCTGTGTGTGTGTGTGTGTGTGTGTGTGTGTGTGTGTGTGTGTGTGCGCGTATGTGTGTTTTGGTAGACTGAGGAGGGACACTATAATATCCATTAATTTCTTGGGAACTTATTCTTGTGGGGGCGGAGGGGGCCATTCACTGCCAGGCAGTAGGCACTTAATGTTGAGGGACAAATAGTACTGGAGCTAAAGAATCAGAAGTTAAAAGATCAATACTTTTGGAACTATATCCCTGCTTCAGACTACAGAGAGGTTCATTTGAAAACAGCTGACCCAGGGCTGGGGATTTAGCTCAGCGGCAAAGCGCCTGCCTTGCAAGTGCAAGGTCGTGAGTTCGGTTCCCGGTACCGGAGAAAAACCAAAAAAAAAAAAAAAAAAAGAAAAAAAAAAGAAAACAGCTGACCCCATGGAAGGTCTGTAGGTTGTGTCTCAAGACCTAATTAGGGAACTAACATGAGGAATGTAATTCTGAGAATGGTTTTTCTCATCTCAGAGAAAATGAAAATTGAAAAGAAAGCAATAAAATGTCTGGAATTTATAAAACACTGTTTAAGTGAATTGCTATGTGCAAACACCAGTTTTCAGAGAGAAAAAAATGTAGTTTGCCTAGTGCATTCACTTAAGGAAGTTACACTGCAAAAGAAAATAGATAACATAGTGTGTCAGTAAAAGATTGTTTATTTTACTGAAGGAGAGATGCGACATGCATAGTTATAGACATAAGACAAGGGACCAGTAACGTGGGTAGAAAACAGTATTACTGAGAAACAGCAGGTAAGTGTAACAGATTAAAGAGATAGGACCCCCACAGGGAGGCTAAACATAACGAAATACTTCCATAGACTTCCAAAAATATTAAGATGAGTTAATATTACATTGCTTTGTTTGGTTAGCAGATTTTGAAATAGTTTGATGATACCCACTTTTCATCACTGAAAAACACATTGAAACACATACATCTGTATTTTATGCATTTTCCATTGGGTGGTGCATGTGTTCTACCAAGACTTTAGTGTAAAAATAATTCCTTTATTTAATGTTTAGGAAAAGAGAACTTTCCTTTGTTAAAAAAGAGACTTTATATATGGTATAATAATTATGAAGTGAAAGCATAGAAGTCAGGATTTTTAGCATTAGTAAGAGTTTTATTTAGTTTTCCAAATAGAAGTTGTGCTTTGATAGACAGACTTCCTTTTTTTCTACCTACTTTGGTTTTTTTGGACATGGCATATTTTTGTATCTTGACCGTTATATGAGCTGCACTTGAAGGTACCAATCATATATAGAAAGCAGATCTAAAATTAGGCTGTATACATTTCTGGTTGATAGTTGAGAAATGTACAGTTGATTGTGTTAATAAAATATATATCTGTACAGTCTTTATCAATACAAATAATTTTACTGTGTTGAAATTTTAATTTTCTTAAGTTCCTTTTTCTACTTTGATTACTGTATTTAAACCTGTTATTTTAAGAGGACACTATTGCTTTCGTTTGAAATTCATTGTGTCCCAATTTTTAAGCCAAAATATGAATCTCTTATGCTTTTCTTCCTTACATAAAGCTCAGATCTCTCATTTCTTTCAGTCCCCTGACTTTGGAAAGAGAAGGTGACAGTGTTCAGCTGTGAATGGTTCTTCTAATATCCATATGCTTGTGTAGCATGGAAACAGGCTTCTACAAGTGGCCTATTCTTAAAAGAATTTTTAAAAATACAGATGTAGGGGTATAGCTCAAAGGTAGAACGTTTGCCAAAAATGCACAAGGTCCTGTGTTTGATTTCCAGCAGCATAAAATCAAAAACTAATACAACTCATGAAATGTTCTAAAAAATGATTAGTAATTATTAATACATTTACTTAGGTATGGTTTCGTCACTTTTGAAACACAAGAAGATGCACAAAAAATTTTACAAGAGGTAAGATCTTTTGGTATATTTAACTTCATTTTATATCTTTCTTTAAAATCAGTCCTATAAGGTGTTTAAAGTACAGTTATTAGTTGCTAAAATAAAAAACACCTTACATGCATTTTAAGATTGCCATTGGTCTCCAAGAAACTTATCTGCAGAAAAACAAATTCTAAATCATTGCTTGAGTATGATTATGACATCATAATATAAGTTTTCAGTCTTTTTGCTTAACTAATAACTTGGGGATGAAGCTTATCTGAAATTGTTTACCTTCTGTGAAAAACTATTATCAGTAGTGGCAGACCTATGGCATGAGTGCCACAGTGGACTATTTGTATCATTGAAAGCTCTGTTACTGTATTTTTCCTTTAAGACAAAAGTTTTTCTCTAAACTAAAACTTCAGTGATCAGGTTTAATTGTAGGGTTGGCACTTGGTGATAAATAAGTGGGTTTGAGGTTGCAGATTGGGCACTCAGTCTCTCAAAGGTTCACCATCACTGCTTTATGTAAACTATGAGCATTCATACAAAAAATCTGTAACCTGCAGTTCAGTGTAATAGCTTTAAGTTGTAGCAAATGTAACATTCAGTTTTTTAGAAAAATGTGAGTTTGAATTGTATATTATCAAAAGCATAGTCAATTCTGTTAATCACAGTAGTTACAAGCCTTAACATCACCATGAGTGCAGCTGAATCAGTGAAGACCACACTGCTTCTCTCGTTGGAAAGAGAAAAGTCACCTTCCCAAGAGCTCCTGTACCATCAACCAGTTTATACATAACCTTGTTTTATGTGCATTTCCATTTAAAGAAACCATATTTAGTAGATTGATGATTTATTAACATTGAATTCGTGACCAGCAGCACCATGATTCAGGCCTGAATTCACCTCCATGTTTTCTCTGTGAACCTCAGACAGTCTTACTGTGCTTAGGAACACAGCCAGCATTTAGCACTAGACTTGGAGCAATTTACGTAACAGAATCACTGGCAAAAATGGGGTAAACTTAGCACCAAATAAAACATGGAAAAAAAATTCTACAGTGTGAGCCTAAACAAGAAGAAGCACCACCTAGTGTGGCCCCAGCTAGGAACCTGTGTGTGTCACTACTCAAATGTCAACCACTCTTGCATGTCCACAATAGCCTCGACATCACAAGTACCAATTTGGGGAGTCACAAATAGAGAACCAATGAATAGAGGATAGATTATACTACAAACAGGATGTTACAATGACAGCATCAGAAGCAAGATTGGTATTCAGAGTACCTGAATCCAAAAACCTGCTCTTATCCTACGCCCTGTTGCTTTCAAAAACATTATAGTCTGAATGTGTAAAAATATTTATTAATTTTTCTGTTTTGGTTTTATATTTATTTAGTGCCAAAATGATAAAATTATTTATTTTTTATTTTAGGCTGAAAAACTTAATTATAAAGATAAGAAATTGAACATTGGCCCAGCAATAAGAAAACAGCAAGTCGGGATCTCTCGTATGTATTGAAAACTAATATATTCTTCTATATTTTTGCATGGTCCTTTTGTGAAATATTAAGAGTTTTATAAAGGTAATGTTTCTGTCATGTAATAAAGTTATTTTAGTAAAGTTTGTATGTAGTTGTTTTTTACCACAAATTAATATGTGTTAGTTTTTTGACTAGGGAAAATAGACATAAATAATGTTACCTAAGTATATTCCATATAGTTATATCCTTAAAGAAAAAATCCTTTATGATGAAAATATTTAAAATTGCAAACTTAATTAGAAGTAATTTAGTAACTTGAAATTACTAATTAAAATTATTTCTAGTTAGAAAATTTATTTAAAATTAATCAGTAAAAATATTAAAGTGAGACTATAGAACTGATATCAGAAACTGCCTTCATTGTATGTACTGTCCCCAACCACAGGTGTCATAATCACCCACAGGAGCAGTCTTTAAAGCGTTAGGCTGTGTGCCTTTGTCACATTGCTGCAGTGCTCTCGGTTCTTTTCTTTACTCTTACCACTTACTACATTAAACATCTGTATTTTTTACCTATAAAACTATTAAAATATTAAAAACTTCCCATAAAATTATAACTTTTCTTATTTTCCATAGCCACATCCTAGTGTCTACTGGGAAGTTTAAAACATTAGGTGGTTATTGTAACTCTGGTAACAAGGGAATGGATTGTGATCATCTGAACGGCTCTGCTTTGACTTGAGAGCTGACCAGTAATTCAGAAGAGTTCCAAGGAGCACAGCACTTGTGAGGACCCTCTCATATATTGTGTCTTTTACTCAGAGTACTCTACCATCCATGCATTCTTTATAGAACAGTTCAGACATCACTTCCTCACAGATACTCCACAGCATTTGTAGAGAGAGATTGATTTTCTGTATATATATAATAATGTATATCTTCACTACAGTACTCTGTATTACATAGTAACTTATTCTATACTACCTCTTCAAGTGTTCATCAAAATTTTAATTGATTGTGTAATTAGCTAATAACTAATTGAAACCCTAACTGCATATGAAACCCTAACTGCATATGAAACCCTAACTTCTAAAGACATAGAGACCATGCCATGTCCAGTTTTTTAAAAACTTTTTGTTGCATTCCCAGGGCCTAGTTCAATGTTCTTTAATAGTACATAATAAAATAGTATTCATTTAATGGATAAACCATGTTTTATTGATGATCTTAGGGATCTGTGGACCTCCTGAAATGTGTGTGAAATTCTACTTGAAACAAATATATGCCTCTGAGAAAAAAGTCCATGGGTTTCATCAGATCTTCAAAAGAATATGGTTTTAGAAGACATAAGTGGTGACAGTAGTAGATCAAATGCAGTGAAAACATAACAGCTGAGAAATAGTAATGCTGCTTACAGTTGTGGACCAGTGGAACTGACACTGTAGTTTGAAGACAGCGTCAGTTCCCTTGGAGATGGTCAAAGCACAGGTTCTGGGGCCCTAGCTCAAGATGTCTGATGATGGGTGCCTGGAATTTGCATTTTAATAAACTGTGTGACTCTAGTGTATGTTAAATTTTGAGAAGCACAGGTATAGTTGAAGGACTATTAATGGTTCCAGTCATTTATAAACCTTGGTGGTCCAGTTTGTAACTTTTAAAGTCTCCTCTATGACAGAACAGTGTGTGTAATTTGATTTGTTGTTTTATCTTTGTTTTTGTTTTTGACAGTACTGGGGAATGAACTCAGGAAATTCACACTGAGCTATATCCCCAACCCTTCTTTATTTTTTTGAGTCAGGGTCTTGGTGAGTCAGTAAGTTACCTAGGCTGGGCTCAAATTTGCAGTCCTTCTGCCTCAGCCTCCCAGAGTGCTGGGATTAAGGTTGTGTGTCATCATGCCTGGTTGATTTTTTTTTTTTTGGTCAGGGGGACCTGCTTGGAAAAAGACTTGGGGACTCTGGACCTCCAGACTAGCTACTCAGAGACTTGTCATGTTTTCAAGAGCAGCAGTTGTAACAGAGAGAGACTGGAGAGAAAAGAGAGTCATAGTATGGATGAATGCCTGTTGGCTGTAAACCCAGGCAAGTAGTAGAGTAGAACCCAGAAATCTTTAGGAAAGTGGAATCTTCTCCAGCTCCATTGCCTCCATCATCTTTGAACTTTATAAATTAGATCTAAGATCTTAGGAACTGTAGTGTCTGTAGTCTTCTCAGTAACTCTAAATAGTTCATAAAAATGACATAGGTGATAATTATGTTTACTGTTAAATTCTGTGTCATTATACTGGTGTTAGAATCTGAATTGGTAGATATTTAATATTTTTTATTAACCTTGTCTTTTAATTACCTTAGGCTAATAAAAATTATAAGGTAATGAGTTTGACAATGCATGCTTCAAAGATAGCTTAATATATGGAGTTTAAAAACATTTGTGGGGGCTGGGGATTTAGCTTAGCGGCACAGCGCCTGCCTGGCAAGTGCAAGGTCATGAGTTTGATTCCCGGTACCGGAAAAAAATAAAATAAAATAAAATAAATAAATAAATAAACACATTTGTGATATTTTACTGTACCTTTGTAGTTGTGTTAAATATTTTTCCAAAAGTGTTCAGAAATTATATATTTAAAAGTTAAACGTTTCAATTATTTAATCTTTGCTTTAGGTTCTAGTGTAATGCCAGCCGCTGGAACAATGTATCTAACCACTTCAACTGGATATCCCTACACTTACCATAATGGTGTGGCTTATTTTCATACTCCAGAGGTAGCTTCTGTCCCACCAACTTGGCCTGTAAGTAACTTCATTTAAAGAATTTTCACCTGTTAATATCAAATATTACAAATATTTGTTTTATTTCCAAAATACTTCAAATACAAGTAACATAACACCCATGTCCCTATCACCCAAGTTTAATTGATGTTAACATTTTGCCATATTTACTTACTTTAAAGGGGAGAATAAAATACGGCAAATTCAGGTAAAGTTCTCCTTATCTTTGTTCTTATCATCTTTTCCTTCTCAGAATATATTTCCCATCTGCTTTGTATGTTTTTACTGCAAGTGTATGTATTCTTAACATACAGTGTTGCTTTGGGTGGTTTGTTTGTTTTTTGAGACAGGGTCTCACTTTATAGTTCAGGCTCGTCTTGAATTCACCATGTAGCTCAGGCTGGCCTCCAACTCAGTGGCAGTCCTCCCCCAGCCTCCCAAGTGCTGTGATCACAGGTATGTTCCACCATGCTTAGCTAGGTGGTTTTTTGGGGTTTTGTTTGTTTTGGGTGGTCTTTTTCTTTCTTGTGGTGCTAGAGATCGAACCCAGGGCCTATGCACGCACAGCAAGAACTCTACCACTGAGCCACATCCCCAGCTAGGTGGTTTTTAAACACTGTATAAATTTGGATTTTTACTCAACACTGTGTGTTTGAGATTGAACTGTATTGATCCTGTTTTGAATTATACCATGTTAATCTGTATATATCTAATTCACTTTTAATATTTTATGTTATTCCATTATATTCCTTTATTCGTGGACATTTAAAAGTTTTCCTACAATGAAGGCTATATTGAACATTCAGGTCTTACATGTGTTATGTGAAATTTTTTTAGGGCAGTGGTTTTCAAAGGTTTTGTCTATATATCTAATTTTTTTGAAAAATTATAAATACACTCATTTGAAGGTAATATCTAAAACTTGTAAGTTTGAATAGTTGAGGCCTATGGTGTATTACTTTAAATAAATTTTTACTAAAACTTTGTACCCGTATATTTCTTTTACTTGAATAATTGAAAATGTCTGTTGTACAGCTCATTTAACAAAGCTAGTCAATTGAATAAAACTATTAGGAGATTCTGACTTTATTTTAAACTCAAATAAAAGAGTTTATGTATATCCCTGTGAACATCAGCTAATTTAATTATTTTTCCTGGATGAAATAAGGTACCATCTCCTCTTTAATGTTTCTTATAAAGCTCTTTGTTGGAACTTCTCTGTTTCTGAGAATTACCTTGAATTGTGTATTTGTTTGATGCACTGATGGTGTTTGTATTTCAGAACAAAGCAGTATAGTAACATCCAGAATGAGAAGTGTGCTATTATTTAGGGAAGGAAGTAAATGAAAGGGGAATTTTGAAAACAGGAATCCAGAGAACACAGAAATATCAAGGCAGACAAGGCAGACAGGCAGATCAAGTCAAGTTTAGGCTCTAAAATTGGTATTTTTAGTTATTCATGCCTGGAATATTTTTGTGCTCCCCTCCCTATACTCCGATAACATGCATAGAATTGAAATTTTACATGCATCTTTGACTAAATGTTAACTAAAAGCTTTAGAAAGTATACCCACTTATAAACTCTAGCCAGCAGTGTGTGAAACCTCTTAATATTGTGCCAACCCTTACAGCTACCTGATTCTCACATTTTTGCCAAAGTCATTATGTAATGTTACTTGGTTTTGTCTTTAATTTGTCCAGTTACTGGTAAGAGTGAACTGATTTTCATATATTTACTCTCATTCCAATTTCTGCTATGAACTACCTGTTCATATTCTTGCCCAGTTTTCTACAAAAGTGATTTGCCTTTTTCTTGCTCATTACCTGAATTTTTTGAATTGTAAATATCTCCTTCCAATTTGTGGCTTGTCCATTTAACATGGTTTGAGGGTTTCTCCCCATTAGAAAAAGGTTATAATTTTTACGTTATTTTAATGTTGACAAATGTATTAATGTTTTCCTTTATAGTTTCATCTTTTATCTTGTTTTAAAAACAATTCCTTTTGTACAAGAAATAGATAATCTCTTATATTTTATTTTTAAATTCTGTAGTGTTGCTGCCTTTCAAAGCTAGATCTTAAATCTGCAGGATATGTATTAACTAACCTACCCATTTTCTGTTTGAAATGAGTCATTCAAACACCAGGTTGCTGTGTGCATCTGTTCTGTTCCAGTGATGTACTTGCCTACTCTGCCCAATTCTGCTTTCATTATTGTGACTTTGTTGGAAGTCCCGAAATCTGACAGAGCAGAATCTCACTTTGTTCTTCAAAGTCTGTCATAAGTCTTTGCTTTTACAAGTACAAGTTTTATAGTTCAGTTTGTTTAGTTCTGCAAAAATCCCTTTTGGGTTTTTAATTGAATTTTACATTCAATATATAGATTAATTTGGGACATTTAGGTACTTTCTAATATTGAATCTTTCCACCCGTGAACATGATACCTCTCTCTGTTTAGATGTTTTTCTTTCCTTTTTTTTTCATGTTTATTTAGGTCTTTTTCATTCCATCATTTTGTTTCTTCTCTCCCCACCCAACTCCTTGAATAACTATCCTGGCAGTGTCCCTGCTACAGAATTGATGTAATAATTTCATAATCTTTTTCTTGAAAAAAGGAACAAGTTCATTATTGATTCACCATTAAACTCTTGTCTGTCTCTTTGTGGGCTTTGGAAGTTACTCTTCGTCAGAGTCTCACAGCCTTGGCATTATTGCCGTCTTGAGCCAAATGGTTTCTTTGTTGGGAAGAGCTGTCCTGTGCTTTGTAGGATGTTTAGAATTGTCCCCAGCTACCCCACAGTTATGAAAACCAAAACATATTCCAGTATTGCCAGATGATCCCTATGAGACAGAATCACCCAAAGTGAGAGCTGTTGCCCTAAAACAGTTTAGGAAGTTATTTTCTGATGTTTGCTACAAGTTTTTATTCTAAAAGAAAATTAATGTTTAAAATATTTTTTTGTATCTGCTGAATTATCATTTTTTCTCTTTTAACCTATTGTGGTAAATTATTGTTATTTTCTAATATTAATCTGTAGCACAGTTTTATTAGCATATTAAAATGTGTATATCTTACAAAATAATGATACTTTTCTTCAGTTTTGAAAGTATGAACATTAAGACAAACAGTAGTAAGTTAATTCTGTTAGAATCTAAATTTCATTTGCTATGATTAGAGTGAATTTTATCTGTCTTGAAATGCAACTTGCCAGTTTTGTCAATGATTTGGCATTAAATCTATTTCAGGGCTTACTGTATCATGTTGAAAAATTAAGTGTTGCTTGTTACTTCAGATACAGACGTATCACAAGTTTTTTGGATAATTAACTCATTTAAATATCATATTACTAAAAGAATTTAATAGATGTTTCAGTAAACAGTGCATTTGCTTTTAAGTAAGTGTATAACAAAGGAATAAAATGTTAGTTACTTTAGTGTAAAATCAATGGGAAAATTATATGGGATTATTAATTCAGTTTTAAATGCTATTGTAAACATTATCTACTTTTAGTTTCCACAGTAGAAATAAGCAATATACCTCTAAGTTCAAGTGCCATTTTTCTTTAAACAGTCTATTTTTGATAATCTTTGAAGGTGATACATTTCAGGCTAAAAGCAAGTTTTCTGGTACTGTTGTTGTTTTAGTACAGTATTGCTATGGAAATGAAACACGTGGAAATAGTCATACTCTGATGATTAAATAGCCTAGCAGAGTTGGTAATAATATCAATAAGAAGTAGAAAAATCATTTTTAATCATTAACAGGAAGTTCACTGGGTTTATGCAACAATTTGAGATGTTTTATTTATGTGCTATTTTAAAGAATTTTGCCTAAAACAATTCTATTTTTATTTTCTTGGTACAGTCACGTTCCATATCTAGTTCTCCAGTAATGGTAGCTCAGCCCGTTTATCAGCAACCTGCATATCACTACCAGGTAGGCATTAAATTATAATTTGAACCCTCTCAGATACTGTCAGCACTTTTTGAGATAACTTTCACTATTTCTTTCTCATGTAAATACTCTTACTGATCAAAAAGAGATGCTTAAGCCTTGACAGCAGTATTTTTTCTTTTTTTATGAGGGAATTAAACAATGTTATATAAGAAGATGGACTGTGCTTCATTGTAACAAATGTAATGAGGTCAGTCTTGTTCCCCTGGCTAAAATTTCCCCTAAAACACCTTTAGCAGTAATTCCTAAAGTCAGATACAGGTCTTGGACCACAAGCTGATGTTTTATGTTACTATTAACAATATGTTAATTTCTTGTTATATTTAATATGATATATATTTAAATAAGTAACTTACGGTTTATTACTTATTATATATGACAGCCTCTTTTAATTAACCAACACTCTTCTTTTTATTAACTCTGGTGGGAGATTGGGAGTAAGTGAATTACAATGTAGACCATTTTGGTTCATAGCAGTCATCAAACCATGATTCTAGACCAGACCCAGAAACAGCCTGCTTTTGTAGATAAAGCATTACTGGAACATAGCTGCATTTGCTTTTGTATTACCTATGGCTGCTTTTGTGCTAGTATGAAAGAGCTGACTAGTTTTAACAGAGATTATATGACGTGCAAATCTTAAAATATTTACTCTCTAGTTCTTTACAGAAAATATTTGTCAATCTCTGATTTATAACATTTCCATATAAAATCGCATTCTTTCATACCTCTGGAGCAGTGAAAGAACTTTTTATTTGTGTCACTTTTTCAACTTTTAAAATAGACCTATATGAAATGTTAAGTTAAAATTGTAGAATTAGGCCAGGTGTGGTGGCTTTTGCCTGTAATCCCAGCATTCAGGAGGCTGAGGCAAGCAGATGGCCATGAGTTTGAGGCCAGCCTGGGGTACATAGTGAGACTCTGTTAAAAAAAAAAAAATTACAGAATCTTTTTACTATTAGACTTTGGGGAAAATCAATTTTTAATTCTATTACTGTGCTAAATATAATACCTCATTTTAAAAGCCAAAATAATTTAATGGCATTTATTTAAAGCACCTTCTATAGCATGAGTTTTCCCAAACTGTCATGGAATTTCAGCAGAGGCCCCAAAGACAGATGATTAGGTACCACACCATTTAATGTGGCAGGCTGAAAAGCTGTGAATGCAATTTTGAGATCCTTACCTCATTGCCCACCTTGAGCACCTCTTGAGAAGGGAGATCCATAACAACGCTTTCTTTAACAAGAGAGTGTTGGAGTGGGGTGCCCTTCTCCTCCGACTCAACCTCTTCTAAAAATAATATCCCAAAAAGGATCCAGGAGCAAAGACAAGGAGGGAGATGAGGAACGTGTTGAACTTTCACTAGCCACGAGCAAAGCAAACCTCACAGAGGAGACTCTAGGTGACTCCAGTTGCAAAAGACTCAGTGCAGACAAGAGTAGGCTTCTAGAATCAAGGCTTAACCCTGCAGTCACAGGCTCCCAGCAGAAGATCACCAGTGAATCCAGTAGAGTGTCCTAATTAGATAGGCAACGTTTGGCATATGCCAAACCCCCAAGATTACTGCCCTAGGTTTTATCCAGTGACAAGGAAGAACAACACATAAGAGTACTTTGAAAGTGTTTTCTGCTTGTGCCTTACTGAGTCCAGCTCTTCCTGTCTTTTGTTAATTGTTCTAGGAGCTGTAGCTCACATGACATATCAGATGTACAGTATTCTGGAGAGTTTAATACAATTTTATATTTTGACTCTGATTTTCTGCTTAACACAAATTATAAGATTATAGAAGTGTTACCTAGATATACTTGGGAAGGATTTTGGTTCCATATTTTTCAATATAAGAAATAATTTCATTTCACAGTTTTCTTTCCAGTTATATATTTATTATAATTCTGCCCTCAAAATTGCCAGTTTCACAAGAATCTTTTACATCTTTTTATAAATTCTAAGATTGATAGTTTCACCAGTTTTTGTAGTTAAAGTAAGTAATAAGTGATTTAATCAGTATTTACCTCCTTCACTTTATAGTTATTTTATTTATGTAACAAGTCAGTGTATCAGTCACTATATTTCAAGTTTTTATTAAAATATTTTCTTGGGCCGGGGATATAGCTCAGCAGCATAAATGCTTGCTTGGCAAACCTGAGGTCATGAGTTCGATTCTCAGTGCCAATCAATCAATCAATAAATATTCTTAAAAGATTATATTTATTCTGCCTTTTTCAATATTTCATATGTAACATGGATTTCACATTATCTCGGCTATCATTATAATACAGTGGTATTGTCCCTTAGCAGTTGAAGTGGTCAGAACTAAATTTACAATGATTTGATTTAGATGGTAGATCCTTGGGGTCATCTTCCTGTCTTTTTTTTTTGGTCTAATAATGAGAAAAATTTCTAGCCGTGGCAGTGCATGCCTGCAATCCCAGCACTCGGGAGGCTGAGGCAAAAGGATTGCCATGAGTTCGAGGCCAACCTGGGCTACATAGTGAGTTCAAGGCCAGCCTGGACTACATAGTGAAACCCTGTCTCAAAAAGAAAATAATAATAATTTTTAAAATGATAGTGAGAAAAAGACTTTATTTAAAATGACTAAGAATAAAACATTCATTATTGAAAATTAATATATTTTAAGGAATAAAGTCTAGCTTTTATTTTGTCACTTTATAATAAAAACCTTAAGTAAATTGCCCCCAACCCCATAGTGATGATTGAACCCAGGGTGCCACACATGCTAGGAAAGTGCTCTGCTAAAATAGAGCTCCAGTGCTCTTTAAATTTTTTTTTGACACAGAGCAAGACACAGTGTCTTGCTGAGAGGCCCAGATTGGCCTTGAACTTGTGCTTTTCCTGCCTCAGAGGCCTGGAATTACAGATGTGTGCCACTGTACCTTCCCCATCCTCTTTTTTATTAACAGCTTTATTTAGCTATAATTCACATACTGTACAATTCACCTACAATTCACCTAACAGAAGTATACCATTGAATGGTTTTTAGTAAATTCCTTGTTACTGTGTAACCACACCAAAGTCAACTTTAGAATACTTTAACCACTCCCCCTTAAATCTTACCCGTTAGTCACTACTGTTCCCCACTCCCCATCCTAGCTAGGCAGCCAGTAATTTCTGTCCTCATAGATTTGCCTGTTCTGGATATTTTACATAGGAAGAGTTATACAATATATGGTATTTCATGACTGGCTTTGTTCACTCGGCATAAAGATTTACTCATGTGGCTGCAGGTATCTATACCTCATCTCACAATAAAATCCCTTGGTATGGGTACACCAACATTTTCATTCATCAGATGATGAATGGATTGGATTTTCTCTGCTTTTTGGCTGTTACGAATAATGTTGTGATGAACAAGTTTTTGTGAGACATACATTTGCATTTTTCTTAGGTTTTAGAGTGGAATTTATGTAGTTAATTTTTAAAGTGTCACACCGCTTTGCAGAAAGACTGCACCATTTTATAGTCCCACCAGCAGCTTATGAGGGTTCTAGCTTACTCCATATCCTCATACTTGTTTTTTTTTGTTTGTTTTTTTTTTTTTTTTTTTTTGCTTTTTCTCCGGTACCGGGAACTGAACTCACGACCTTGCACTTGCCAGGCAGGTGCTTTGCCGCTGAGCTAAATCCCCAGCCCCCTCCTCATACTTGTTCTCAGATACACTTTTGATTATAACTGTCCCAGTGTGTATAAGCTGGTAGCACATCATGGCTTTCATTTGTATTTCCACACGCGAATGATGTTTACTGCCGCCTTTTTATGTGCTTATTGGCCATACATATATAAAACGTCATACGTAGTGGTGCCTCAGTTCACAAACTCTGTTCTTTCCATGATTCTGGTCACAAACCAAACTGGATGAGAACTAAATCAGAGTTCCCCATAAGGTCAGTATTGCACCTTGCCATTTAATTTGATTTGGTTCTTATCCAACTCAGTTTGCGACCAGAGTTGTGGAGAGAGTCAAGTTCGTGAGCTGAAGTAGCATTGTATAGATATGTATATCTTATTAGCCATATATGTCTTTAAATGTGTCTTTTTTGGTGGAAAGTCTATTTATATCATTCACTCATTTTTAAGTTGGGTTACTATGTTTTTATTTTTGAATTTTAAGAGTTCTTTATATATTCTTCATATAATTTCCTTATCAGATATCATGTGTTGTATTTTCACTTCTTGTTGGTGTCCTTTGCAGCATTAAAGTTTTAATAAGGTACAGTTTATTTGGTTTTTTTTTAATTTTGTTGCTCTGGTTATTGTTATGTGTGTTTTTGGTGTCATAATTTTATTTTTTTAGTATATACAAAATTCATTTTTAATTTACACACTTAGAAAACCATAATGTTAAATACATTGTAGAAAAGAGCTTGAGATTAATGCTTCCCATCACGTCAATTTCAAGGTAGAAATTCTTTGATAAAATCCAATATTCATTTATATCTGTGTACACCTCTGTGTAGATGTTCTTTTTTTAAGTTTTTGTTGCCATTTTAAAAATGTTGCCTAATTCGATATCACAAAGCCTTAGTGTTTTGTCATTTTAGCTTTTATATTTTGGTTCATTTCAAGTTAATTTATATGTATGGCTTAAGGGCCCAACTTCATTGTTCTGCATGGCGCTGTCCACTGTTTATGACCTGGGTGGTGTTTCGTTTGTTGTTTCTCATTGTAGGCCCCAGCACAGTGTCTTCCAGGACAGTGGCAGTGGAGTGTTCCTCAGGTAAATGCTAATGAACAATCAGTATCTAATGTAAATATATAAAATCTGTATTCTTCTGAAGACTAGATAGAGACTAAAGTCAGGAAAACTACCTTTCAGATCTCCCTCTTCTATTTACTGTGATTCCTTTAACAGTTCATTTCATTCACTACATTCTCACTTCCTCATTTGCAAAATGGATGTAATGATACTATACTTTTGTAAGTTTCCTTACATGATATTTGTGAAGATAAATGAGATATGTAAGTGAAAGCATTTTATAAGTAAGTGAATGCTATATAAACACAAAAAATTATTTCTTTTTACTATTGGTATTATTGGAAATTTTAGCATTTGTCTAGTTTCACTTTCGATTTTGCTTGTTTGACCTACCCTCCTAATGAGTGCAGGTTTAATATCCTTATCCTAAACTCTTGGGAGTAAAAATGTTACATACTTCTGAGGTTTTTTGATTTTGGAATATTTATATAAGCATTACTAGTTAAACATCCCTAATCTCAAATCCAGAATGCCCTAAAATCTGAAACTTCAGAGATGTTCAAACTATCGTTTTCCAAATTTTAGAACAAGTAATATACCACCAAAATTGTTTAATAACATTTTCCCACTTCTATGGGAAGTCACAAAGCTGAGTAGATATGCCAATTTAAATATCATGGATTATATTATTAATGATGATATTAATATAACCTTTAATGATGATATTAATATAACCACGGTTATCTGAATTGGCATGTAAGATTCTGAGACACTAATAACTTTTGGTGTTTATGGTGATGTTCTTTAATGACATCTGTGCAGTTTGAATTTATAAAAACCCAGAGTTCCTCATCTGTTACTAGGATAATTCGGTGCTATCCCTTAAGAAGTAGTTTAGGAAAATATGAAAACAGTATATTTCTCACCTTTTGGGCCATTGTTCTAACACAGTGATGGTGAACCTGTGACACAAGTACCATAGCCAGCTGTATGTTATCATTGAAAACTCTAAAAGGTTCACCATCACTTGTCTAATAGGAATAATTAATCATATTTGAATTTGAAATGTGGTTTTGTGTTTTAGTCTCCTGCCTCTTCCACTCCATTCTTATACCTGCAACCTTCTGAAGTCATTTACCAACCCATGGAGATTGCACAAGATGGTGGATGTGTTCCTCCTCCACTGTCTTTGATGGAAGCTTCTGTTCCAGAGGTATCTGTGGCTTTTTTTATGTGGTTGTCATTTGGGGCAGTACTGGGGATGGAGTAGGGTCTTGTACATGCTAGGCAAGCACTGTACGACTGAGCCACATTTCCAGCACTGTATGCCTGTATTAACATTAAAGTAACTGATCTTTAGCTGCTTTTGCTCTTTTTTAATTTATTCAGGACCTTCATTGAAACTGCTTATCTTTGATTTATTTATATCTTTTCCCCTTTTTTGTATCTAAGAATACTTCATCTTGGACTTCACTAATTAGAACTGGTCATTCCTCAATCAATTTATTGTTCACTGAACTAAGCTAACCTCTTAACTTAATCATGTTGAAAATAGTAAGATATCAAATATTTTTCTTTCTCATTTTGTCTGTCAGTCTGTATTATTGCTAATATTCTGTCAGCTAAAAATATAATCATTAAAGCAGTAAAAAAATACCTTTAAAAATCTTTCTTAAAATATATAACTCAAGGCTAGGTATGGTGGTGCACACCTGTAATCCCAGCCACCCACCCACTGAGGCAGGAGGATCACTGCAAGTATGAGGCCAGCCTGGGCTACAAAGTGAGTTCAAGGCCAGCCCAAACTGCAGAGTGAAAACCTATCTCAAAAAAAAAACTTTATATATATATACATATGTATGTGTGTGTGTGTATATATATATATATATATATATATATATATATAAAACTGAAGTTTATTTTATAACTACAAATTATAAATATCTTCAGTGTCTTTAAATTGTATCTTTGAGCCTTGCCATCTATGTGCCAGGAATTTGCATGGTATATTTTAAATCAATGTTGTAAAAATTAGAAATGAGCACCCACCTTCTTGCTTGAGTACATTATTTTTTTATATTGCAAAGGTTTATAACACTATAATTTTTATTCTAGAACAATAATTTCAGCAGTTGTATCTTCATATTTAATATAAATACTTTTATTAGATTCTTCCATTCTTTGTCTCACCCTTATTTTTGGTGGTTGCTTTTTTTCCAGTTTTGCTGAGGTATAATTGATGAATAAGAATTGTGCTGTAGATACTTTGATGTGTATATACATTATGAAAAGGTTACTACAGATGAGCTAATCCACCACTCAGTTATTTTTGTTTTCTTGCAGTGAGAATATTTAACATCTACTCTCAATAACTTTGGAGTAAATAGCCCATTATTACTAACTGTAGTCACCATGCTATACAGTAAATAGTCAAAACACACTCATGCTAACAGACTGTCCCCTTTGACCAACATCTCCACAAACTTCTCCCCAATTGTCACTTTACTCTGTGCTTTTATGAGCTTGATTTTTTTCAGAGTCCACATCTGAGTGACATCATACAGGATTTATCTCTCTGTAACTGGCTTACTTCATAGTGGTTTCCTGTGATTTCATCTGTGATGTCACAAATAACAGGATTTCTTCTTTTTTAGGCTTAATAGTATTCCATTTTGTTATAATGTTCCTTCAGATACATGTAATCAGGTTATTTTTAGTGGAATCTAGAAAGATTTTTCTAAATATATAGCTAATTATTATTATCATATAACTTGTATATTGTATGGTATTTCCACACAGAGAATGATATTTGTATGCTTGCATTTTAATATTATTTCTCTTACTAACATATCACCAGGTAGAAGATATAGTCTGACTTCTATATAATTTAGTGAATAGTTTAAGTGGGATTTCCCTAAAATTAGAAACTACAAGGCATTTGTGGTGTGATATAGATGTTTTCTTTAAGAAAAAGTTAGTATCTTTATTCTTTTCATGGTTATTATTTTAAACCTTTGCCAAGTCTTCAGTACTACCATCTCCTCTCTTTCACTCTTAGAGCATAGCTTTACTTGCTCTTTTACAAAGTAGAAACCAATTTGTGCAAATCAAGTCAGTCTGTAATCTCCAACATACAGACTAAAACAAAACCAAACTCCTCCTTAGCTTCTGATATCTATTTAGTAACGTTAAGTCTTATCCAAGGTTATTTCTGACTCCTGCTCTGGATATTTTCATTTCCTTTCCATTCCATCTATGATCCTTTTATTCTCTTATATTTTAAGTCCTTTTTTTGTCCCCCTACAATGGTTCATAGCCTCACTACTTACTGTGTTACTCAGAAGAATTAATCCTCACATTTTTCCTTTCATAATTTCCTCATTTGTAAAATAAGGAAAGCGTGCCAGGTGTGGTAGCGCACACCTGTAATCCCGGCACTCTGGAGGCTGAGGCAGGAGGAGTGTTACGAGTTCGAGGCCAGCTTGAACTACAAAGTGAGTTCAAGACTACTGCATAGTGAGATCCTGCTTTAAAAAAATGTGGTTTTTTTTAGGTTATGTTTATACCAATGATAAAAATTTCTATATAGAGTCTACTTCCTCACTCTAATTACATTAAAAAAAATCTTCTATTAAGTAGTAACTCAGAAGCAATTATCACTCTGAAAACTTGCTTTACCTTAAGTTCTGGCTAGACAAAGCACTCCAGGTTTTACTCGGAATTGTTTCTATAAAACTGCCATTGCTTCTAGTTTTTGTTGTTTTTTTTTTTTAAGGTACAGAATATACTTTCACAAATTTCTATACTGCGTTTTAAGAAAAGCAAGTAGGCACCTCCAGAATTA